ATAATAATGATAATAATAATAATGATGATGATAATAATAACAACAACAACAATAATAATAATGATAATAATGATAATAATAATAATGATGATGATAATAATAACAACAACAACAACAATAATAATGATAATAATAATAATAATAATAATAAAGCATGCTAGTACTCCTTTTTAAACCCATTAGCAGGACACTGAGATTTGATGTGATCCTCTTTCCTATTCCTGCAGTAGTAAAGCTGGTAGTTTCCATGTTAACATGAACTAGATACCTAAAGAGTGGTACTGTATCATGTGATGTAATGATCTTTGAGGAAGACACATTAACCAGCAGCATTCTGGGAACTATTTGATTATTTAGCCACAAGAGTGTTTTTTTTTTCTGGGAATCCCAAGATCTAATGCTAGGAAAAAATTAAGGTCTGTGCATTCCATTCCATGCTGACAAATTACAGAGGCTTTTCAGCTAATGATGTGTGTTTTTGAACGAGATCATCATGGCATAGAGAAATAGGGTAGTTTTTATTTATTTATTTATTTCTTTAAAAAATAAAAAAAAAAAGCAATCGACCTGTCCTGGGATAAGTGTTCCGCTAACGCATATGTTGCTTTATAGGCTGAATGTGTCAGCCTGCAGGGGGCGCCGGCGCTGCCTTTCCTGCTGCGCTTTGAGATTTACTTTACACCTTTATCTGGTTAAGCTTTTAACTTGGATGGAGCCAAGCATACGAAAACTGCCGCGCAGTAAATCATCTCATCCTCATTCCTCCACTCAGCCCATCTCCTCCTCTGCGGCGTTTTTCATTTTTATTTTTTTGCAACTGACAATGTGCTAGGCGATCTGAAACAGACACCGAATCCCGGGTGTATATATATAATTTCGTGTGTGTGTGTATGTATATATATATATAGGCCTATATACAACAATTTTTTTTTTTTTTTTTTTTTTTTTTTTTGGGAAATTTACCAAAACCTCCAGCGTTCCACGGCCCGGTACCGGATTCGCAAAAGGGGGTGTCCGCGCCGGCTCTGTCATTCTCTAGAGTCCCTCCCCACTAACGTGCATGCGGGGAGGTGGTCCGGGGGTAGGGGATGAGACATTGCACGGTCCCTCAGACCGCCCTGCCCCCTTCTGCGCGGCGCCTGACAGCCTCCGGAGCGAGCGGGTGTGGAGGCTGGGCTGCGCGCAGGGGTGTTAGGGAGGCGGAGGTGCGGCCCCGGGGACTGACACGGCTCCGATCATGGGCTGCTGCATCAGCACCGAGTGCTTGCGGGTAAAACGCTCCTCTCTTTGGTGCTCGGACAGCCCGAAAGCTGGCTAGGTCTTTGCTATGGGTAGGCTAATCACAAGGGATAGACTGATTGTTATGAGTAGGCTAAGTGTTTTGGGGACTGTTACTGCATAAGCAGGGTGATTTAAAGGTAGGTTGTGTGCTTTGTGCATGCTGATCAGAGATCGCAGATCACCGATCCCTGCGCTGCTTGCATATCATGCAGTATGTAAACGGAGGATTTGTAAGAGCAGTCGAGTGAGGGGACCGCATGGCCGTAGTGTGATGCCTGCGGTTTGTTTGCCTTCCCCGGCTTGTGCGTGTATGACTCTGCGTTAAGTGTGATGCTTACCTCCGCTATGCGTGGCTTCTGAGTTTCTGCCGTTTGATCGTTCAACACGTGTCTCACATGCTTGCAACATGTGCTTGACTTCTTTGTACGGGAAGGATATTTCAGGTCCTTTTGGTATACGTGCGGGTTTTCGGCTTTTGTGCAAATGTTTTGGTGGCAGGCGGTGTGCGTAATACCTGCATAGTAGCCACGGGGCACAATGTTCCTCGGAGAGCGAGAGAGATACCTTATCATCTAACCGGGAATCTGATCTAACGATACCCCTTGACTACAGCAGTGCAATAATATTCGATGTCTTTTTCGGCTAAAGTGACTTTTGTTGCAGACCGCATATATATATTTTTTTCCTTCACAGCATGAAGACGTTGTCAAGAGGAGAACTGAGCTGTCACAGGAGCTGGCCACACTGCGTGGAGAATTGGGTAAGTAAATAATAAATAGCCAGCAATGAAATGCTCCTTTACTTGATATGCTGGGTTTGGGCATGATGCAAATGTATGGACTCGGTTTAGAAGATATATCATATACATAACATGTGTAACCCATTCATTTAATTTAATTTGATGCAATGAAAAGAGTGGAATGAAAAACATCAAAAAAATTACCCCATATTTAAATGCTGTCAGGTGGCATAATTGTGCAGAAAGTTAGTGTAGGTGCTTTGTTACAAGGACAACTGAGCAATCAAACAGACATTCTCAAGATCAGGATCACAACAGGCTGTGTGCGATAATGATGGGGAAAACGCAGGCCAGCATCAGCTTTTGAAGAAACACCTGCTCTTAAATGCTTCTGGTTAAAATGAGCTTTTGCTTCATTGCGAAACATCGCCATGTACCTAACACACATCGCCATGTGCCACATCGCCATGTACCTAACACACATCGCCATGTACCTAACACAACACATCGCCATGTACCTAACACACAGCACCATGTACCTAACACACATGGCCATGTGCCTAACACAAATCACCATGTACCTAACACACATCGCCATGTGCCTAACACACATCGCCATATGCCACATCGCCATGTACCTAACACACATCGCCATGTGCCACATCACCATGTACCTAACACACATCGCCATGTGCCTAACACACATCGCCATGTACCTAACACACATCGACATGTGCCTAACACACATCGCCATGTGCCACATCGCCATGTACCTAACACACATCGCCATGTGCCACATTGCCATGTACCTAACACTCACCGCCATGTACCTAACACACACCGCCATGTACCTAACACACACCGCCATGTACCTAACACAACACATCGCCATGTGCCTAACACACATCGCCATGTACCTAACACGCATCGCCATGTGCCTAACACACATCGCCATGTGCCTAACACGCATCGCCATGTGCCTAACACACATCGCCATGTGCCTAACACACATCGCCATGTGCCTAACACACATCGCCATGTGCCTAACACACATCGCCATGTACCTAACACGCACCGCCATGTACCTAACACACACCGCCATGTACCTAACACACATCGCCATGTGCCACATCGCCATGTACCTAACACTCACCGCCATGTACCTAACTCACACCGCCATGTGCCTAACACACACCGCCATGTGCCTAACACACATCGCCATGTACCTAACACACACCGCCATGTGCCTAACACACATCGCCATGTACCTAACACACACCGCCATGTGCCTAACACGCACCGCCATGTACCTAACACGCATCGCCATGTACCTAACACACACCGCCATGTACCTAACACACACCGCCATGTACCTAACACACACCGCCATGTACCTAACACACATCGCCATGTGCCTAACAGACCAATGTGTCTATGTTGGAGTCATTGCATAAAAGATGACACCCACAGCTGCAGTTAGCTATGAATAGCGGGACAGCAGCCACACTTTAGCCCTCACTTCATCTCCAGGATTCTGTTATGTTTTGTCTGCTTTTGATGTTTGATTATATGTAATCCATCTTTGGTTGGTGTATGAGGTTATAATAAATAATTCCTTTATTTGCACAAGTACGATTACATTGGAATGCTTCTCTTCGCCTGCCTCATCTTGCTCTGCATAGCTTGGGGGTCACATCGCAGGGTCACCCATCGTGCAGCACCCCTGGAGCTGGGGGTTAATGGCCTCATGGGATTGTTCTGCTGAGGCCGGGACTTGAACCGGCAACCTTCCGACTGCAGCCACAGAAGCTTAGCCTCCTGAACCACCGAGTGAAGAGTTAGCACTTTTGTCTGGCTTCAGTGACAGAGAAACTTTCTCATCAGTTACAAGGGTTCAGACTAAGAAGTTGTTTATTGCAGGGGCGGCCAGCCATATCTGCAAAGGGCCGGTGTGTATGCAGGTTTTTGGGGTAACCTTTAGGTCAGCTGATCAAGCCCAGGTGTGAGGAGGACTCAGCCAATCAGGGTAGTAGCCTCTCCTCTTAGGGGGTTTATTCTCACTCTAGCTGTGTGTGAAGTTGTGGTTTACCTCCATAGTCAAAAAATAAGGTTATTTGAACCGGTCTCCCTGAATTCCCCATAGTGTGTGATTGTGTGTTGCCCTGCGATGGACTGGGATCCCATCCAGGGTGTCTCCTGCCTAGTAGGTGTTGTCACTGGCCTGTGAAGTCACTCAAGACTCCAGTGGTGTACGTAAGACCAGTGTTTCCCAGTCCGGTCCTCGGGGCCCACAGCCGGTCCACGTTTTTGCTCCCTCCCAGCTCCCTGCCAGACAGTAGGGAGCTAAAACATGGCCTGCCTGTGTGTGCTTGAGGACCGGAATGGGAAACACTGCCTTAGACAGATTTAAGTGCAGCCCTCACCCCGTTTCTGCATGTCTTGCCCGGAATGTTTCCTCCTCATTGGCTTGAAACACCCTGAAGCTCCTCATTGGCAGAAGGGTACGGGAGAAGACGGGCAGTATTTCACTCGCAGACTCCAAAAGACACACAGTCGCACGGGACCTACATCCTGCCGGAAATGACAGGGCAGCAGAGAATTCCCCTCTGCGAGCTGGTAATGGTACTTTTGGGTTTGCGATGGGCTGTTTTAGCGTGCAGGACCATGCCTGGCAAAGGCAGCACAATAAAGACCCCAGTGTTGCCCTCAGCTGCCTCTTTCATTCCCCTAAGAGCCAGACGCTTTCCCTGAAATTTGGCCAAGTCCCTCAGCAGAGCTACACGCCCCGTGGGCTTAGATAAGGGATGCTGAGGCGACAGAGTTTTTCCAGAGCGCGTGGCGTTAGTTTTATGGCGTGTGGTTTGGTACACATGTGGGGTGGGTGTTGGGGTCTGGAAATGGGACAGTAGCACCTGTTCCAAAAAGGGAGGGGGTGAGGGTTTTTTTTTTTTTTGAGGGGGGGGGGGGGCAAGCCCAGGCATGGTTCACATTTCAGGCCATTATGAAATCATGGCTTTTTTTGACATCTACAGCCAACTGTTTGTCTTCTAATTGTGCAACTGGGTAAGAACTCCAGGTCAGAGGGCAGGCTTGTCGGCACGCTGCATAATGCTCTAACGGAACCCGGGTTCCATGTCTCCCAGGGAGCCTGACGGCGACATGTGACCGGCTGCAGCAGGAGAAGGAGGAACTGAATGCGGTATTCCAGGGAGCTCTGCAGAAGGTCCAGGAGAAGCACCAGCAGGAGCTGGCCAACTTCGAGGAGCAACAGCAGGCTTTCTATTCGGCTGAGTGGGAGAAGGTCCATGAAGCGTACCAAGAACAGGCGGACAGGTGCAGGAGCCAGATGCTACAGGAGGTGAGATCAGAGATGGGGATTGTCTCTGCCAATCACCACTGCTGCTGCTCTTTGCTAACAGTCAATGCTGCTGATCATTCCTGCTGATCCTAGCTTCAAAAATTATACCTGTGTCCAGAAACCTACATCCCAGGTGGATGGGCTATGGAATCTACCAGAAATGCTTGATTTATGGTTGGGGACATGTGTCTTGATCGGTGTGTTCCAGTCTGAACAGTATTCATTGTTTGATAGTTATGTTCAGTTGCCATTGTTGCTAAGTTCCGCTAATAGCATTAGCCTGATCATCCAATATTGAAACCTCAGGACTGCAGTCAGGAAGAAGACACGGCTGAGCTGTTACAGAGAGACAGAAGTCTGTTTCTTTACACCAAATAATGGCTGATTGGAGCCAGGATCTTGCTGTGAGCCTCTTGTCGTAATAATAGACGCCAGATAATATGCCCTCTTAACAGGCCCGATTGCGGACATGTGCTGCGACCCCGAGCGGGACGTGTCACACAGTTGTCGCTGTGTTTGAAGTCACTTTTCCAGATGCCTTTCGCGTTACTCATTTGCGACTGCAGCACCAGACACACAGTTCAAGTGTGTGTAACACAAAGGACCCCATGTGTAAGGGGGCAGCCTTGCTGTGTTTAATAGCAGCCACAGTTTTGTCGGTACTCCTGGCTGCCTGGTCAAGGTTTGATAAAAGTCCTTAACCCAATTGACTCTGTAAAATTAGCAAGTGGGAGGAATTCAGCTTAGGAGTGACTCGCGATAGGCCAAAAAAATAATCGATGATAATGAAAATAAATTACAGCAATGCTAAAAACAATGAAGCCTTGTACTCGGATGGCCAGCGGCTCTGGGTGCAGGTGGGAGTGTAGCAGTAGTGCCCGGTCAGGTTGCTGTCTCTGTGTGTGACCGTTTCACGCTCTACACTCTGCTTGGCTGGGGTTCGAGTCCCACACGGCATGGATGAAGCTCTCACGGCTCAGACGGCAAGCATTTAGCAGTCTCGCTTCTGAGCTTGTGGTAACTGTTACTGTGCTGAAGTACTAAGCATTTGTTCAAGCAATATGTCTCTCTGATCCGCTAAGTCCTGTTTTGTAGGATAGGGGTGATTTTGCAATGGCATAGCAATTTTAAGTTATATATTACATTGTCATACTCAGTTATAATGCCCTACAAAGGCAAAACTACGCTCACAGCGAAAAGGGTGTTTTACTTTGGTTTTAGTGTGGATTTTGCGTATAGTGTAGTTCAAAACCAACCAGAGAGACCCAGTTTCAATCAAAATTGTGTTGCCTTTGTATGGCAGTATAGTAATTTAATAATTAGTCAAATGCTTACATTAAAATGCATTATTATTTTAATAGAGCTTTTTACAGCACAGGTTTCCTAAAACCTAGTTTTGGAACTACAATGTTTTTTCTTTTTTTAATGTTACATTAAGAGTGAATGGCTTAAAAGAATTACTTTGTGAAACCATTGGTCTTTCTGTTGGTTGAAAATGCAGGCTTGCATTATGTATGCCGGACATGTTATGTGTTTTGCATGAAAATGTAATGAATAACAGCACTTGACTTGAGTCTTAAACAGAGAAGTGGCAAATGTTTTGGTTTCCCAGACTGCATTTTACTCCTGTTTGAAGGTGGATGATTTAAAGTCCAAACATGATGCTTTTATACGGCAACTGGAAACCAGCCACTCGGAGAAGATGGAGTGTCTCAGGCTGCAGTGTGAAACGTCTTTTGAAGGTTGGTCACACTTTTACGGCTCACTTCGTTTGGCCACCAATGCTAGAACGAAACTGAGATGAATATACAGCACTGTGCAAAAGTCTTAGGCAGTCAAAGAAAATGTTTAAAGCTATTTATCTGGGTAGTAAATGTATATGTGTTCGGAATAAGACACAATTTAACATTAAAGCATATGCAAGTTTAGAGTGACAATAGAAACTACCAAGAGTCACTTCTGTTCTGTGAAACACTGCGGATATCTTGTTGGATGGCTAGATGAACACCTCTTTGGTTCCCAAAAGTCTCCTCTGGGGCACCTCAGCCATTCCATGTATTTGTTAAATTAGTGAGTTAACTTGATGTGGAGGTATTGAGTAGCCAAACAAGGTGAGCCAGTGGCCAAGTCAGATTGTATATTGGATGGTTGGTGCAGATCCTGGGGTGAGTTTCCGAGAGGTTTTGAAATGGCTAAGCTGACACACTTTGACAGTGTGCTACTGTTAGTTTTAAACCAAACAAATGACATTTAAACGTCAGTTTCTTTGACCGCTAAAGACTTTCGCACATGTCGGATGTCTCAGGTGACACTACCCATAAACACTTGCAGCTCCAGGACCCACTCGTGTCGTCGGTAGTTCAGTCCCAAGCTCTTGATCAGACTGAGCAAGCTTATGAAGTCGGCGTGCTCCAGTAAAGACAGTGAAGGCATGTCTGGGCAGTTAATGTTAACCCCTTATCCCTTTCAGAACTCAGGAAAAAACATGAGCAGGAAATTCTGGCTCTGGACGAGACCCTGAAGGAAGCAGAAGGCGCTCTATCTGTAAGCCTAACAAAGAACCCATTGCTTTGGACCACATCACTCTGAGGGGCTAATTCATTACAACTGCTGGGCACATGCTCTGAAAATTGCACTGCATTACAGATGACTGTACACTGCCAAAAAGTAATGGAATAATGTAAAAATGCATTAATACTTAATGTGTAAAATCTATTATATATTATTCAGTATATTATATTGCAGTAGACACAAAGAAAACCTGAGGTGTATTTCTTCTATGAAATCATGGATTTTGAGTATTTTCTGCATCATTGCGTTCAAGCTTACTAGCTGTTTGTTTGATACGTTAAGTCCTAAGATGTGTTATTTACACACAGGGACTTGTTACTTTAGGTTTCTCCTTAGCTTAAAATGACGTGAGCAAGCAATCGTCAATCATCAGACAGTGTCCTTGGGTATCTGCGTACGGTAACTTTCTGCCGAAGAGCAGATGGCGTAAATGAGCGCGGTACACATAGCAAGACAGAGTTTGGTAACTGAAGATTAAAATTAAGTAATATGCAGCAAGAAGAAGTTGACATAACATTATTTTTCTCGCTTTACGCGGGTGACACCGTTCGTACCTTAGAAAGATATGTTATTACACAGTCATTTTAGCAGCTGAGTAACTCAGGGCCGGCTTCCTGTATTTCTCCAGAACCAAATCGAGGAACTCAAAGTGGAAAACAGCACTCTGAAGGCTGAAGAGGGGAGACGGAAAGCCTCGACTGAGAAAACACGGGTAACCACACTGGGTCCCATGTCTCCCATTACCGCGGCATGTCCTTGTTAACAGTACCAGCGCCCCCTATCTGTTCATGTGATTGCTAGCAAGCTATACTCCGTGTGCTCTGCAATGACCTCTGGATCACTATTGTTAGACATTCAGCCGCCGGTCCCTTGTCATTGCGATTTTGTATCTGCAGCCTGAAGCCACGTGCATTTCAGAGGTTAGCTTCAGAGTGTCCCCTGACTCTGTCACTCGCCTCCACCCTGTTTCCTATATTTATCTTTGTTCTAGAAGGATCCGCACACCATATACCTGGAGCAAGAGTTGGACAGTCTCAAGGTCGTCCTGGACATCAAGATCCAACAGCTCCACCAGCAGGACCAGAAGCTGATGCAGATGGAGAAACTGGTGAGGAATGATAATAAACTCGGTGTGATCTGCATTTTATTTGCAAGCTGGAGACTGAATTTCTGATCTCGTTAAATGATAGGTTGAAAAAAATGTGCAGCTGGAAGAATGTCTTAAGAAAGTCCAGCAGGAGAATGAGGACTTCAAGGCCAGGATGGACAAGCATGCCGCTCTGTCCAGGTAGGTCAATGGTCTTTCTGCCTGCAAGGAAAGTCAAACATCTGCTTCTGTTGCCTCTGGCTGTTGTGTTGGTATTTCTGATCTCATCAGCAATTAGGGTGCCTTGAGATATTAAATGGGGGGGTGGAGCAAATTCCAGAATGTCTTTGGATGTCTTTGAGGTACACTTCCAATTGTGACATCACCTTCCAAAACTAGGAGGGTCATGCCTGCTAGGTTTGCGTGTCAAGAATGTGCTCTGGCCTTAAGCTCCATGTCTTGGCACATCTAGTGAGTTCTCCACATTCCTCTCCTCAGGCAGCTCTCCACAGAGCAGGCAGTGCTGCAGGAGTCTCTCCAGAAGGAGTCCAAGGTGAACAAACGTCTCTCCATGGAGAACGAGGAACTGCTCTGGAAGCTGCACAACGGGGACCTGGGCAGTCCACGGAAAGTGTCTCCATCCTCGGTCCCCGTGTCATTCCAGTCCCCCCGCAGCTCCGCCATCCTCTCCAGCAGCCCGAGTTCGCCCAGATAGCAGCTGACCCTCCCTGGGACAAAAGATGGACAGCACTGTCCTCCAGTCAGAAAGCTATGTTAGCTGTGCAGGATCACGACCCATCTCCCTTCTACAGAGGTACCGTCTACGTACATGTGAGCTGGAAATCTCAGGTCCCCTACAAACTCAAAAGCTGAAAAACGTAGCTTAGCTGCCATGGAGCCCAGCTAAGCTGTTCCCTGCCCCGGATCTGTCCCACCCACCAAAGGATCAGCCTAGCTTGGGATATCTACCGTCTTCTGAGCTGTTAGCCAACATCCAAGCAACAAGCAAATGCAAACCTAAAAAGCCATTTAGTCAATAAAGGTGAAAAACAGGCTTTATGCGGCTGGGTGTGGGGTCTCTGTGTGTCTTTGTGCACAGATTAGTCACGGTGTTCACAGGGCTAGCTGGGAGATGTATTTCTGTGTAGACATACTACATGTGTGCTTCATGTAAACATGCATAATCATGCATGATGACCCAGGACAAGATGACTGTTTTTACCTGTGAAAATCACACCAGTAAAGATATCATGATATGCAATTAAAAATCTCTGGTACGTAAGAGAATATCCAGGATATAAGAAAGGAAGATTTGTGATATTCCATTAAAAATATGTGTGCTGCCAAAGTGTATTAGGGTTCTATCAGTCTGCATTTTGCTCTCTGACCTGCATTCTTCACTCAGCATACAGTTATTGCATTTATATGTGTATATATATAAAACAGTACATGACAATATGGCATATGTGGCAGTATTCCAGCAGTGCTAATGAATTCAGAGGTCTTAAACTGTTCATACATAATCAGAACTGATTTAAAACATTACTTAAAAACGTCCGACCTTGAATCATCTTAATGTGATCAATTGAAGTTACTAAGTATTTACGGCTTCAGTATTTGGCAGCGTTGGCCTTGTATTTAAAGTTATTGTATTTTTTATACTGAACTTTTATTAAAATGGGGTGGGGGTATTCCAAACATTTTCCCATTTAATTCCCAGAATCGCCTTCTAGGTAACTAGCTAATTGATGTTTTCTTGCTCACGCATCTTGGTTTCTGTCACCATCAGTGCCAGTCTAATCACCACCAGGCAAGTTTGATCAGTGGTGCCCATGGCTCGCTAAGTCTGTGCCCCCTGCGATGATCGCGCCCTAGGTGGCTGCCTGTGTCACCAATAGGATTGACTGGCCCTGATCACCATTTTATGCTCGATGTCACCCAACCGTGCCTCCAGCTGTCCTCATGGTGGGGCAGAGACAAGCTTTATCCTGAAAAGTGTTCCTAAGTATTTCTTTCATGACGTGTCACAAAAGTAACTATTCCGATGTTGAAATCACTGGTGTGAAGCTTAAACTGAAATATGCAATTCATAAAGTTATATGTATAAATTCAATATTAAAAAGCAGAACTTGATATTATTTATTTATGAATTTAATTTTAGTCCTGACAATTTAAAATATAATCTGTGAGATGTATAAACTGCCATCTAATGTGATTAATAAACATGTGTGTTGTTTAAATTGAATATGTGATGTCACAATCGGTACTGGCTTGTCTTCTTGATGGAGTGTCTCAGACGTCCAATATCTTATCTACTGTTCCAGGCACACAAAGGCTCACTCAGTAGCACAGAGCCCCACAATGCCAATGCGATGTTGATTCAGATGGTTTGGCTCAGTCTTAAAAAATTTTAATCACTGATACCCCTCATGCAGCTGCAAGAGCACAAGTGTGTAGCATCGACTAACACTAATTAATGCTGGCTAACTGATATACGTGAGATTATATTTACCAGAAGTGGAATGCAATCAAATGGCAGCATATTATCAGTAAATATCAGTAAATATTCCTAGCAGTGAAACATTAAATGGCCAGAAAAGCCGTATTTTGCTGCAAAACACATTCACGCAAGTCTTAGCTACCAGTAAAACATAGGGTAAGAAGAAAAGTGATAACGGACGTGAGCGAGTGACTTTTATAGGTCAGAGGGAGGAGTCTGTTGGATAATGAGAGCATCTCTTTGGATGGTGTTTGGCTTGGGGGTCTTGTAGCGCTACAGTGGCTCTAGACGGGTCGCCACTGACGTCTCTCCATGCCGGTTTTTTGCCCTGCAGGTGTATCTCCCAAAGTCGATGGTCTCCATGTCCTCCAGCATGAGTACGCTTTGGGAGATCCGTGTGGTGTGGCCCACGCCGCGGGCAATCAGCCGCCAGGCTCCGTAGATGTCCACCGGGCGCTGGTCCTGAGGTCGGAACACAGCCATTATACATGATGCTCATTTCCTTTTGAACGAGGCTCTGATCTTCAGCATCTACTGCTCAAGCAACCAATTAAGTTAAAGTTCACTTTCCTTGGCTCTAGGATAAGAGCAGCTTAGATTTGTGTCATGGGTCAATTGATCCAGTGGATCTATTGAGGGATGATCAATCCTGGATCAAACCAGGATGGCTCAATGAATTAAACAGGGACAGGCCAGTGGATCAGAGAAAGAGGGGCCAGTAGACTGGACATGAAAGAGGTAATGGTTTAATCATAGAAGATTACCCAAGATCAGGCCCTCCTCACCTGACCCGGGTATGTCCAAGTGAAGTCCACGTCCAGCTCCGGCTCCCCAAGAACAGTGCAGGTGATGTTAACGTTGTCACCTCCCCTCACAGAGGTGGCAGAAGCCTCGATGGTCGCAAACGGGGGGCCGCTGGGTACTACCATGGGGGCAGGAGGGAAATACTTCTACTGAACCTCCACCCTATTCATACCACAGTCCCTTGCTCAGTATATAAGTAATGTTCATCATCTGATAAGAACTTTATTGTCACGGAATTGCTGAGAACAGCAAGCAACGACATTACGATGATATTCCCCGATTCAACAAGTCCAAGAAAGGAAAACCGGGTGATCAGACCTAACGATGCCCATGTTGCACAAGAGGGTGAACGTTATGTTTCTATGTGAGTGTGCAAGGCTGCGTGCATAGGCACCCCCGCTATTGCAGGGATGGTCTGAGTAACTATACTTCAGTATAATTCATACTGTTCTATACTCCTAGCTTTCCAGTTAGTATTGCACCACCGTACATGCTGTACTATACAGCTCCTTACCTTCCACGTACAGCAGCTGGTACTTGTTGGAAATCTGCATCGTGCCCTTGGCGGTGGCCTTGCAGTAGACGACACCCATGTGCTCTGGCATGGGGTCGGTGATGAGGAAGCCGCTGGTGGGTTTGTAGGAGGCAGACACCTCCCCTGGGGGGACTTCCCTGTGCAGAGTCACGCGGGTGTGGGGAGTGGTCACGCGGCAGGGCACCACTGCCGGCCGGTCCGGCCGGAGGTACACTATCTCAGTGTAGACCATGGATGGGACAAACAGCTCGTCCTTGTCTGAGAGGAGTGTGAACCAGAAAAGCATCCATTCAACCTGGAGCAGAAATCGCACTGGAACAGAGCAGAATCAAGAGAGGAGGTGCTGTATGGGCCCACCTGCGAAGTAGATGTAGGTAGAGGAGGTGCGGTCGGGGTCTTTCTCACACTCGGCTCCATCGCACAGCACGACCCAGCAGCTGTACTCCCCTGTGTCGGCAGCAGAGGGCGACGTCAACATCAACTGGCTGAATTTATCTTGCTGCTTGATACTAGTTGCCATAGAAGAGACAACGAGAACCAGGGACTGAAATGAAAAGATGCCTTGCATGACAGCTAAGCTCTATTTGCATGCAGGATTAAATGAAATCACCAAAAAGAGATTGATCAAGGAATTATTAGCAATGGTTCAGTCTTCAGGAATGTGTGAAAGTGTCCCCTAGTGGCAAAGTCATTAATATCCAAGGAAAATGGGCAAATAAATATCAAGTCAGAACAGTGATAAGTCGAAAGTGTAACTTTCCAGCTAGAATAAAATTTCCAACATATATTTTATTGGGAAGTTTTCATATTTCCCTAAGCAACCAATAAAATATAGTCAAATGGTTATTCAAAGAGATAAAAATCAAAAGCAATAAAAACTTTCATGGTTCTGGCATCACACTCATGGTGAGTCAGCACCAGCTGTGTTGCACGGAATTTGCTTCTCTGTGTGTCTCATCAGAATCACATTTTTCTTCTACTCATTTTAAAAATGCATGTTACATTCAGCTGGACGTTTGTACTGCTTTGTTTTCAGGATTTATGATAAGGACAGTGATAGAAACATGCTACTCACAATTTCTACACTCTCCCCTTGTGCAATTTCATAACCTGATGAATTAAAATTATTATTATTATTATTATTGAAAGACGGCCATCGCTGAATGCTTTGGCAAGGGGACGGTTTTGATAGTACATGAGTTCTCTCTACTTCTCAGCTGCTCACTATTCAGTGATGGATAAAGCCAGGAAAAGTGACTCCAGTCAGCGTTTTCACAAGGTCCATCACTAAGATTAACTTGCATGAACTCGCTCTGAATAAATCTTCCAGAGAATGGTAAAGGACTGGAACTACACTCCCTCTGACAGATAACAAAACAGGCCCACTTCCGGAACTGCTGGGTGCTGCGGGTTTACATTAGCTGACAAAAACACAGAAATCCATTTGCTGATAGATTTGCTGATAGGACATCTTGGCAAGAATTCACTCCTGGACATCCTAAATCCCTCAGTCCTAGCAAGAAACTTGCTTTTTCAACTCAAGGGGGAATCATCGCAGTTTGGTAAATTGACACTAACCACATGGGGTTAACTTATGTAGCAGACACTTTTATCCAAAGTAGCATACATTTATTATTTTTTTATATATATAGCAGGGCTGGACAATCGCTGCAGTAATTGGGGATAATGAGGCTCAATAGGGAAACATTCTGCTGAC